TAGCATATATATTATATATGAACATGGTTAAGCAATGGTAAATATATGTCACCATGTAACTATAAATACAAAATATCTCCTTCAACCAATGACCTTAGTGACCTTAGCCATACAAAATACAGTAAGATATATAGATCTAAACACTCTGCCAGAAGCACTTTATTACTAACATCCTTCCCTTAGTCCTGCACGCACTCTACACACATTTCTCTAAGAAGCTGGTTATCTCTTTTCCATAGATAATTCAGAAACAAAACTGTAAGGACTCAAAGAAGTGAAGGAATGCAGGATGGCCTTCTCCCATCCCCTTCCAACCAGTCTGATATGTAGATTGGGAAGCAGAGCACTCTGACAGCATTAAGTGTCAAAGGACAATCTGGCACCTGTTCTGTTTATTGCATCTTTATCGATACCTACTAAGCACTGTGCACTAGAGAAAATACTAGAAATGTAAAGATAAACAGGACAAGTACTACCTCTTAGGTGCTTACAGTCCAGTGGAGGTTATAGTGGATAATGGGGTTGGACAGTAAATTACAATACAGTATGACATGTTCAATAAAAACAGTATGGGTGCCAGCTAAATTTTCATTAAGAAAGCAACACCAATACTTTAAACAATAAAAAATAAATTCATATGAATGTATAAAAAAGAAAGCGACACCTGAATAGAGTTTTGAAGAATAAGAAGTCTGTAAAACAACAGAGAAGAGATAGTAAAAATATCCCTCCTCCATACACACCTAAATACATTCACCTGAAAGAAAAAAAAAGAGGAACACTTTCATAGTAAGTTGCAAACATGTCCAAAATATCTAGTATATAAACAGACTTGGATCCTGAATCTAAGCATATCTAGCACATTAAAGTGTATTCAGAAAAGGGAAATTTTCTTTTCCCTCCTAGATAATTCATTTTGCATTTCCATATTATGTAAGGTATGGGTCTTACAAAAAAAAAATATTACAAACCATTTTATTAGTTCCAAATAAAGCATACCCCCAAATGATATACCTGGAAATTTGCATCTGTATCAGAGAACAAGCTGTTGGAAATTATTTTTCTAGGTCATTCTTATAGATAAAGTAAATAAATGAACAGCCACATCCGTGTGACTTGTCATAAGAAAGGAGTCTTTAAAGTTTAAAAAAAGGAAGTCAAGTTAAAATAGAAAACCCACAAAAACCTAAAGTAACAAGATAATATATATATGTGTGTGTGTGTGTGTGTATACATACTATTTAAATTGAAGAAAAGGTTCAATGAACAAAACCAAGGTAAAAAATGATAAAATAACTCTAAAAACTCAAAATCCTAATGTCTGTTCTATTTCTTTTCAAAGACAGACTTTCTACGAGACATCAATTTTAGTATATAGCTCTTTTTAAAATATCTGGTCAAAGTCACACTGAAATTCATTTAAGTATCACAGGCAGAAATCATCCTTCGTAAGGACAGTCACCTGTATAATAAACCAGAATGACTCCTATCACAGTATTGGATCCCTTGACATCAATCTTGTATATAATTCTATTCAAACATTACAGTGTAACTCAGAGTAACTCTGTCTGTAAAACTGCCCTACCTGGTACCTTGGTTTCTTTTGCTTCTTTGTATTGCAAAATCCACTAGAAGTCTATGTAACAAATAAAATCTTATTTAGTAGTATCTTCTGCTAAGATTGTATCACTATTTACGTAAGTTGTCTTCACATGCTTATTTAAGCAAGCACATGGAAAGTTTGACTTTATGTAATCCTAATAGAATGAACTTTCTATACTTAAAAATTTTAAGACAAAGAGCAAAAAATTTGTTAACTTCCTTACTAGTCTGTTACACTCATTATTTCATATGCCTCCATGAACCAAACCTACCTTTTCTTTATTTTTCTATAGTATCAGAAAATGTTATGAAGCAAATTTGTCACTAAAAAGGGAAATACTATAACTCCCCAAAGATTGTGGGGAAAAAAAAAAATCTGTAAGTTTTTCCCCCCAAGTACAAGTACTTTTAATATCAATATCTGTCTACTGAAGAGATAAAAACCAAAACTGGGCTAGAAGTACTTCTAGAAAAATCTACTCATAAATCTAAAGTATTTATTTACTTTTTGAATAAACAGAATTTTCAAGTTATAGCTAACTGTAAAGTAGCTCCCAAAAATAATAAAGTGAATTAAATATCCAAAGTTCTAAAGTATAAACATAGGTAATTAGTTCTCTTTGGGAGAACTAGTTTCATTTTATCTTCAAGATCAAGTACTTTTCAAATGAAAGAGATATGTCACTCATATCTATAAATTTTGCCCTTGTTTTTCCACCATGTAAGTTTACTTTAAAACGAAAGTATTATAGAAACTGAAAATGTTTTAGAGGTTGTATTTGTTGCTTGGTTAAATATGCAGGCAATTCTCATTCCCCAAGAGTTACCATATTGGGTTACAGATAGCTCTACATAGTATACTTAGAATAAAAGGGTTCTGCCAACAAATGATACCTCCATTAATTCATTTTTATGGGTACAGCATTAATTAGGATACAAAAAACTGTGAAAGTTTCTCAGCTCCTTTCTAATACACAAAGTATTCACAGAAGTCACTGCAATTCAAGCCCTCAGGAAAAAAAATGATAGAAAATGAACTTTTAAAAATTAAATGAGGATCTTATGAAGTCAAGAAAGAAGTGCAGAAGTTTTGCCTTTTTTACAGTGAATTTTTCCTTCTGATTCAGTATTATAAAAGAACTACAAACTAGAGTTGTTCAACATAGAAAGCTTACTAAAGATCTTGGTCCATTTAGAAGTATTTCAATAAAAAGAGCTCAGAATGTAGACATCTAACCATTTTAAATAGACATTTAACCAGTTCAGTCCACTGTGATTCTTAACCCTTTAAATATAGAAAAGTCATCCTCCATAATTGCAGAAGAAATGTATTCATGGACATTTGGAAACAAATGTGGTCAAATAACAGGAAGTGTTCCCTAATAACTCAACATAAACATATGTAAATACGTAAGTATTTTCAAATTTCTATGCCCCCCCCCTTCCACTTACGTTGTTTCAAAGGGCAAACCAAAAGTTGCACTTATTCCAGAAGTCCTAATATCAAGCATGACAGAAAATGTGTTCAACTATGAGCTAAATTCAAGTACAGCCTCCCTCAGGAACAGATTTTAACTCAATACCGTCTACCACTTCACCAAGAATCTAAGGGTTCCTATCAGTGCATATTTTCTTATACTTATTAGAAACTGTCCTGAAGATTAAGAAAGGAAGTTTTATGACCAACAGTTTTATGAAAACGGAGAGAAAGAAGAAGAAAAAAAAAAGTGTTGCATTCGGTCTTCTGGATGTTGCAGGCATCTCCTAGGACCCAAAGGAAGTTGATGTTTAGGCTCCTTCCGAGAGTGTGGTACCCGTATGTTAGGACTTTCACGGAGGCAACACCGCGCTCCCGGGGCCTGGAATCAATGCAAATTCTAAACCCCGGCAATGCTCTCCCTAAAGGAAACTTCAGCTTGCGTTCAGAAACGATCGCCAGTCACCGAGCGTCACCGGGCTTCTCGCCTAGGCGGACAACACAGCCTCGAACGAGAACGAGGAAGGCCGCCTTTAACTCCACTCATTTCTTCCGTAAAACTTTTAAGTGAGACCGAAGCCAGCAAAAGGTGCGGAGGCCCCGACGGAAGTAGAAACCCGGGGCCGGCAACTTCCCAGACAGCAACGTCCCGGGTTCCTCCGCCAGCCCGGGACCCTCCCGACTCCGTCTCTACCGCACGGCGGGGGCTTCGGCCTCCGGGCGCGGCGGCAGAGGAGGCATCACAGCTGCACTCCTCCTTCCATCACCCGAACCCTTCGGTATCCCAGAGCCTGCGGGCTCCCGAGACCCGTTAGTCCAATACCACCCATCTTACACACACACACACACACACACACACAAGTTGCAGGTGATGTGCGTGTACGGAGAGAATGTGAACAGCCCGGGACCGCGGCAGCTCAAGGGAAGGCGGCAGCGCCGTCTAGAGCGGGCCCGGGCTCCCCGGCCACCGCCGCCGCTGCCTCCTCTTCTTCCCCAGGAAGCAGCGCGGCGCAGGCTCCTCGCGCTGGCGGGAGCCCGTGAGACCCGAGGCTGAGGGAAAAGCCCAGCGCCCACCGAGGGGACCGGGCCTACGATCCAGAGCTGCTGCTGCTGCTGCAACGACCCAAGTACCGCGCCGCGACGCTTTACGTCCCATCCACCACCCTCCCCATACACACCCCCTCCCTCTCTCCCTCCCTCCACCGCCGCCACCCCCCCTCCCCGCCCGCTCTGCTCTCCCTCTCTCGATTGGAGCCGAGACAAAAGCAACGGGAAGCGGCGGGCCGGGACGCTGCCCGAGGACCCCAGGCGCGACCGGACCGGCCCCGAGGCATTCCCCCGCCTTGCGGGGGCCCCGAATCCGCCGCCCCAGCCGCGCGCCCCGCTGCCAGACTTCCGAAAATTTGCCAAAAACTCACCGCATGAATTTTCTTGTCCCGCGGATCCAAGATGGCGACGTATCCACCGCGGAGGCTGCTGGGAGCAAGACCTTTACCCTCTGACCCCCACCGTGACCCCCGTCGTTCCGGCTTCCCTTAGGCGGTGGCGGAAGGTGGGAGAGGCGATTGCCGACCGGACGAGGTTGGGGGCGGGTTGACCGCTTCCCGCGGGTTGGACCGTGGCTGGGAGAGGCGCCTCACTCCGTCATCTCTCTGCCCGCAGCCTCCACCACGTCTCCCTCCGATTCCCCGGGAGGCTCGTAGCTTCTGCGCGGCCGTTATAGCGAGCGGAGCCTGAGGCCGCTACAGTTCCCTTGGGGCGGGTTGGTTCCCCGGGGGCACGGGCCCTGGGTGCGCGGTGGGCCGCGGGGTCCGGGGCCGGGGAGTGGTGAGGTGGCGTGGGCCCGCCCTCCCGGGGCCGGGGAGCGTGTTTGTGTTTGTGTACGTGTGGACACCCCGCCCCGCGTCCTCCCGGAACGCCCCCTGGCCGGGCACCTGGCGCCCGCGGATCACCGCCCCGCTTTCCTCCCGCAGCCCCGCAGCCTCCGCGGCCCGGGCGCGCCCTTCAGGGACCGCAGCGCGTCACCTCGCCTCCGGAGAAGTGAGTGCCCCTCTGCCCAGCCGCCGCGATTTTCTACTCACCACCCTTCCTTCTTTTTTTTTTTTTTTTTTTAACTTAGTGGGAGGGAACATATTGGGGAGTAGGTTTTTAGAGCACTTTGGGGGGCACTCGCGCAGGCTGTTAGATTTATAGCATTTTCTCTCGCCGCGAACGACTGGCTGCGCTGTCAGCGGGGCTGTGAGAAATTATGGTGGCTTTGGTGGAAACTTCAGGAGAATGAAAAGTCTCTGCTTTCCAGAAAAAGAATTGCCACTCAGAGTGAAATTAAATTTGTTTTCATTGAAGTAATCAGTCTGTTCCCTTTTATATTGGTAAACTCTTCCCTTTTTGTTACTAGTGGATATTTGGGGCTTAAAAAGACCCTCTACGCGAGTGTTTTGGGGTTGTAAAAATTGTTATTTCTATTTGAGTGATGGAATTTGTTAATGTAAATTACGTGCAGTTGATTCGGAGTAAATAAAATTTCGAATTTCCATGTTTGTTTGTTTTTGTAAAATCAACTTTTTCTTCTAACAAACTCACAGTAATCCAATTTAAAATACACCACCGAGGGGCAAAGGGTTATCTGTCGCTCCTAAATAACAAAAAATATATAAGCATAAAACAAAAGGTGTCTTTGTCCTGTTTACGGAATGCAGTGTATTTTGAACTATTACTAGATACTGTGTAAATTAAACTCCACATGGTGATGTGGCCAGTGGAAAATGTTTCACATGGTTATTCATCTCACTAAACATTCTGCTCCACCGTGTTTTTTATGCTAGGAAAGGTCGAGAAGAACACTTCTTTATATTCTTCCCTACCTTTTCCCCAACAGTTCTGCCTGCCTTTTGAACTTTTCCTTCTGCTTTGTAAGATAGCATGTTAAAAAACTGAATACGCCTCTGAATGTCATACATACAGTATATAAGTACATGTATGTACATTTATTGTATTACTGAGCATTTTAATCTATTAATAAATTAAAAGTATAACTTGATATTTGGAATCGTAAGTTAAAATAATAAAAATGAGATACGGTTTTTTATATATATGTGTGTGTGTGTGTATCCTATATAATAAAACCCTAATATGCAAATTGACTGAATTGCAGAAGTACGGGTCACAATGATGCACACTGACCACCAGGGAGCAGATACTCAACACAGGAGCTGCCCCGGGTGGTCAGTGTGCTCCCACAGGGGGAGCGCTGCTCAGCCAGAAGCCAGGCTCATGCTGGTTAACGCAGTGGCCGTGGCGGGTGCCTCTCTGGGGATGCTAAAGACCCCTCGGGGATGTCTGACTGCCAGCTGTGGGGAGTGGACCTAAGCCGGCAGGCGGACATCCCCTGTGGGGTCCCAGATTGAGAGAGAGTGCAGGCTGGGCTGAGGGGACACCCCTCCCCCCCCATGCATGAATGTCATGCACTGGGCCTCTAGTACAGATATATTTATATAGTTGCACCAAGTATTACCACTTTATCCATTAGTTTGCTTATATATAGGACTTTGTTAATACCAAAAGATGGACCTTATTGTTAACAACCCCATATTTACTCAAAACACGTTTTAAATAGCATAAAAGTTGGTAAAATTGGAGAAATCACTTCCAGAAAGGAACAGGTCTAATTTGACGGTTTTGTTAGCTTGGATATTTTACTGAAAGAGATAAAACATTTTCATGGTAAATGTGTAGGATAGAAGCATTAGGAAAAAATACACTGACACTCTTTCTTGAGAAAACTTGATTTAGGATAAATTTAAGTCTTGTTGAACAAGTTTTAAATTATCCTATTACTAGTGTCCAATCTGTTAATAAATTTGTAAAACTTGTTGAATGTCTACTATAGAGGTCGGTCCTAGGTATTAAATGAGCTAACATTTGTTAAGAGCTATGTTCATAGTTTTCTAATAAGCACTGTAAATAGAATATTTTTTAAAATTGTCCTATTGCATCAAAAGTCCATTTTTTTTTATTACTAATATTGATCAAATTTACCTATTTTGTAGATAAGTGGTGTTTTTAACTATTCACTTTGATGGCTTTTACTGAAAAACAGTCCACACCTTGTATGTGTTTTGTGTGTTGAATGTGTGTAGGTAAATTTCTTGCGTACCTTATGGAAAAATTACTGGTTTAAAGTGAGGGAAAAAATCCTCACTAGGGGCAGAAAATGAGTTTGTAAATAACTAGTTATAGAAAAGGGAGTCCTCACATTATTGAAAGATGTAGACTACTGAAAATCTTATCATGGTAAAGGGTAAAAAGGATAGATATCTCAAATTTAACAAGTACTTCATTGTCCTCTGTAGCTCGGTTGGTTGTCATCCCATGCACAGAGGGTTGCGAGCTTGATTCCCTGTCCAGGTTTCAGGCTCAATCCCCAGGAGGGAGGCAGCCGATTGATGTATCTCAATGTTTCTCTCTCATGGATGTTTCTCTCTATCCTTCTCCTTTCCTCTCTCTCTAAAAATGAATAAAAACATTTGGATTCAAACTGCCCTTCCATAAACAATACTACCAACAGTTCACTCACTTGCTCAGGCATAAAACTAGGAATATTCTTTGATTCCTCACCTCAGCTGATCATCCAGTACCATCAGCTCTTCCTTGTGTGTATTCAAAATTCAGCCACTTCTCATCATCTCTCATGCCACCACCCTGTCCAAGACACTACATCTCTTAAAGAGCAATATCCACATTATCTGCTTCCACTTTTCTCTGTGCGCCTTCAAACCATCTCTACATACCTGCTAAAGTGATCATTTTAAAAAGCTCATGAGGCTATGGTACTTCCTTATTTTAACCTCCAATGGCTACCCTTAGAATAAAATTCATTTTCCTTACCATGGCCTTTAAAACTGTATAATCTGGCTTCTGCTTACCTCTCCAACTTCATCTTACTCTCACCCTTCCTTTCTGTCTCTGTCACGTATCAGGCTTTTTCCAGTCTATAGCAGAGACTGTTGGTTGTCCCCTAAAATTTTTCTGATTTTTTTCATAGTAATAGACATGGGCACGTGGCTATCCAGAATAAAGACTCTATTTCTAGCCTCCCTACAGCCATGTGGTAGTTCTGGCCAATAAGCAGGTATGTCATGTTCAAAGACAGCTCTTACGCACCTTCAGTCCTTTGCTGCTTTTCCTTTTATATCCTGCACCCCGGACTACAGGTGTGAAGCATTTAACTCTGGCTGCCAGTTTGGGCCAGGTGCAGGTACCCACATCATAAGGATGGCAAAACCTTAAGCTGGCGGAAACCTGAGGCCTTGAGACCCTTGTGGAGTAGCATACCAACCCTATACTCCTTATATTAATTTTGACATAAAGAAAAAAGTGAACTGTCAGTAAAGCTACAATTTAGGGTCTCTTGTACTCAGTTCAACTTAACTGATACTCCATAGGACCTTTGTACTTACTGTTTATTTCTGCCTGAGATATGCTTTCTCTATGTCTTTATGGCTAACTCATTCTCATCCTTCAGGTCTTAACTCAGATATTATCTCTAACACTCTTCCTTGGCCACCATATCTAAAGTAGCTCCTTTTTTCACTTATTTTCTCGAACATGATCCCCTATTTTAATAGCATTTGTAATTTGTCGTTATCTCTTTATTGTTTCCCTTCGCCCTACTAAAAATGTAAATTTTATGAGAGCAGGGATTACATTTGTTTTATTCACTGCTTTATCCCCCACACATGGTAAGACATTAGATAAGTACTGTTGAATGTATGAGACTGGGAATAAATGAGCTGTTGAATGAATGAAATAGATACTTATCCAATGTTAGACTGTTCTTTTAAAGTTAATATGTTGAAAGGTTTTCTTCAACACATATGAAATTCAAGCTAGGAAACAACTAGGAAAAATAGTGCTAAACTAATAGAATATGCCAAGCTTCCAGCCCTTGATAATGGAAATATGTACCTTTTCCTGGGGAACCTATAAGGTTATTGCAGGGGGCCAGGAAAAAGCATAATTGGTGAGAGAGTAGCAAATCAGGAAGAGCACTACAAAATATCTTCTGCAGAAACACCCACAAAATAGCATTCTGGTTTGTTATATAACTTACTGGACCTCAGATTCTTCAGCTAAAACATATGAATCTTAAGCTTTGAATAGTAATCTAAAAGTTTAATAGTAAGTTAGACTTATGAGTGATGTAACATGTTACACATTAATTTGGTCTTCAGGTGTTGTTTTAATAAGTGATTAAATCTTGATGATACTGGTAAGGGTTCAGAGAAACGGTTTCTTATACTACTGAGAGTATAAATTGGCAAATTTCTAGAGTATAGCTTAATATGTATCAAAAGCCGTGAGCATATGCATTTGACAGGTCAATTACTCTAAAGGAAATGTAGCATAAGGATATGTGTAACAATTTTATTGCAAAAGTGTTCATTACTGCATTGATTACTAGAATATTGGTTAAATAAGCTACATCCATACAGCAGAACAGTATTCAGTTTCTAAAAACAATGGAGGAAATTTTATCAATAGATATATTAAGTGTGAAGAAAGCTTTAAAATATAATTCCAATTTTGTAAAAATTTATAAGTTCACAAAGACTAACTGGATATGTACAAGATTTTAAAAAGTGACTTTTATAGTTATTTTTATTTCATTTCATAGTTTTAAAATTTTTTCATAGAAAAATTTTTTTACAATGCTAATTAAAAGGCTGGCTGTCTTTAGCCCAGCCAGTGTGGCTCAGTGGTTGACTGTTGACCCATGAACAAAGAGGTCACCGATTCGATTTCTGGTCAGGGCACATGCCTGGGTTGCAGGCTCCATCCCCGGTGTAGGGGGTGCATGAGGCTGCTGATCGATGTTTCTCTCTCATACATGTTTCTATTTCTATCCCTCTTCCTTCCTCTCTTTCTCTAAAATCAATAAAAACATTTTTTTAAAGGCTATCTTTATATTTAAATAAATAAGTGCATAATTTGGGGAACTAGTACCACTACTAAATTCCCAAGCCTGATATCTTTTACCTTTTCTTCCCTACACAACTATTACCAGATCTTGCATATTTTACCTTCTAAATATGTCTAGGATCCAGCCTTACCTCTCCCATTTTTTAGCCATTCTCTTAATCATTCACTCATAATCTCTTATCTGAACTTTTTAAAAGAGATTATTTAACTGGTCTTTCTTTATTAAGTTTTACCTCTCTCCTGTCTTCCAAACGACCACCAATTTCTATGGTGCACATCTTTGGAGACTTCCCAAAGGTGGAAGTGAGACTGTAACTCTGAGACTATCATAAAAGGCATTGGGACTTCCTTATGCATACTCTCTTGAATCACTGAGAGATGCCAGCTATCATGTCATAGGACATTCAGGCAGCCTATCGAGAAGCCTGTGTGCCAAGGAAATGAAATCTAACAACCAATAAGGAACTAAAACTTGCCAACAACCACATGAGTGTTTAAAAACAAATCCTTTGACCCCCTTGAGATGACTCCAGCCCAGCCAACAGCTTAACCTCATAAGAGACCCTGAACCAAAACCACCTAGCTATCCACTTCCTGAATCTGAGATATTTGTTGTTTTAAGCTGCTGTGTTTGGGTTAATTTGTTATGCAGCCATAGATAACTAATACATCTTCCTTCAGGATTCATCTTTTGTGAAATTTTTCTGAACCCATTTTTTTTTCCACTTAGGCTACTTAAAAATTGGTTTTTGCCCTGCTATACAAGGAGCTTCTTAAGGGCAAGAACTATCTCATTTTCCCCTAAATGTTTATACATCAACAGGTGTTTTTAGCGCTTACATGCTCAGCATTATACTAAAGAGTTAGCAGTAACATGATTTGATTTAAAAATGTAATTACTAAGTAACACTTAAGACTTACTATGTATCAGGCACTATTTTAGTCATTTTACCTATATTAACTCATGAAATTCTTATTTCTACTTTATGTGCTCTGTGGTACAGACTAAATTCTCTGCTAGATTAGAAAAGGGAAGTGAGAGAGAACTGGTGTTGTTAGGGATAATTTCACCAACTGGCTGTTTAGGTTCAATGTTAAATGACAGTTTGAATAGATGTGCATGAGAGGAAGGGGACGTTTTCAGTGGAGGGCATAACACGAACAAAGGCAGCTGGGAATATCATAACAAAGTACCACTGACTGGGTGGCTTAAACAAATTTATTTCCTCACAGTTTGGAAGCTACTAGTCCAAAACAGGGTTGGTTTCTTCCAAAGGCCTCTGTCCTTGGCTTGTAGTTGGCTTTTTATGTTCCCATGGTGTTCTCTCTATATTCAAGTCTGTCTCCGAATTTCCCCTTTTTATAAGAACACTAGTCATATTGAGTTAGAGCCTACCCATATGACCTATTTAATCTTAACTACCCTTTTAAAGCTCCTATCTCTAAATAAAGTACAGTGGGGCCTTGACTTATGAGTTTAATTCGTTCCAAGACTGAGCTCGTTAAGGAGCTCGTTAACTCAAATTACTCTATCAACTCAATGCAAAAAATCGGCTGAGAGACAGCTGGTATCTCAAAAAATGCGTTAGTCAGGACACTCGTAAGTCAAGGCCCCACTGTACTGGAGGTTAGAACATACATTTTGGAGCAGTACAAGTCAGCCAACTTGGAAGCAGAAATGAGCAAGGGCCAGTGACTAAAACCCCAGCCTAAGGTAAGTAGAGGGGGCTAGTGGAATTTATCTTAGAATCAGGTGGCACAATTTTAGAGTATTTTAAATGCCAGGCAGAAGAGTTGAAATGGATGGCTTTTGCTAAGTCACTGCTAATCAGTTCACTCCAAGGTTTAGTCAGCACCAAAAAGGAAAAAGAAAATAAGTTAAATAGAATCATTTATTGTATATTTCTTCATATCCACTTAAAATTTTTTTTCTAATCCTCACCCAAGGATATGTTTTTATTGATTTTTAGAGAGGGGAAGAAAGGGAGAAAAAGAGAGAGAAATATCGATGTGAGAGAGAAACATCATTCGGTTGCCTTCCGTATGCACCCACATGGGATTGAACCTGAAACCTACGTATGTGCCCTAACCAGGAATTAAACTCAAGACCTTTCCGGGAATGGGACAACAAACACTTCAGCCAACTGAGCCGCACCAGCCAGGGCTTCAGATCCACTTTTATGACTTGACATTGTCATTCTGAACTTTCCAAGGTAATTACTTTTAATTATCTATGAGTTATCTCAAAATTAATGTCCTTTTACCCATTCAAATCAATTTCATACAATAAAAAAGTTCTTTTTTCCCCACATCATGCAAAAAAAATCAACAAAATGTTTCCATGATTAAGCTGTTTTTTAATAAAAACACCAATTATTTTATCCCATGTATGAATTATAAGGTATTTTTCACTTCAAAAGTTACTCCCCCAAAGGTTACCAGGTTTAATGAATATATAATAATTAATTTAAAACATGTAATTAGCCAATACATTCTTGCTTGGCAATGAATGAATAACTGAACTCTGTTTAAAAGGAAAACGTGGATTAAATACTGAATTGACAGAAGGAATGAAAATAATTTATGTACATAGAGTAGGTTGATGAAAGAATTACCTGCTTCTTAAAAATAGTAATGGCCTTAGTGATAGCTATTCCAATGTTGAATGTTAATACATTTTTTAATTAAGCAGTTTACTTAATGTGAAATTACATTCAGTGTAAAAGAAAGTGATTATGAAGACAGTGAGACAATAAAGATTATGAAGTGTGTAGATCTCACCAAAACCTTAAGCATAGAAGAAACAATCTAAAAATCCCCTACTTCAAACTGATTCTATTAAATTCAAATTCTTGCAATCAGGCACTGTTTTTATGTTTAACCTAAAATATTTACATTGTTTTTCTTATTTAGCATTTAAGACTGCTCACATTACAGATTGTTCATGGATGAAATATGAATCTAAGCAGATTTTCTGTAAAATATGGTATAAGCTTATTCAGTTTTCCATCTGATTGCTAATAAACCTTACAGTACAGTTTGTAAAGCCCCTTAAGGACTGAGTGTGTAGAGCAGGCTGCAAGTTTCAAGAAATAAGCTGAAAATGAGCATATAAGCCTACTTTTTTTTCTTTTTAAATATATTTTTATTGATTTCAGAGAGGAAGGGAGAGGGAAAGAAATAGAAACATCAATGATGAGAAAGAATCATTTATCATTAAGCTACCTTCTGTACACCCCTACCCCCTCTCCCCAACCACCACCAATGGGGATCAACGCCACGAAACCCAGGCATGTGCCCTGATTGGGAATCGAACTGTGACCTCCTGGTTTATAGGTTGATGCTCAACCACTGAGCCACACCAGCTGAGCAGGCCCATTACTTTTTTAGAAAGACATTGTTGGCAAGAAGATAGTTACTAAATAATCACAATAATTCTCAATAACTTTACATTATGAATACGATGTCCACCTCTATATGTGGAGCCTATATTCATAATCAATTAAGGTGTTTTAAAAACACTGCCTATAATAGAGGTAAAGACTCATTTCATCAATAAAAAATGAGTATAGTTAGTTCCTATTAGCTCTAGTTCTTAAAAGTTGCTATATCTGCTATACCTCTGACTGGTGAAGGTGGTCCCCACACCTTTTTCCCTTTTAATGAAGCAGCCTACAATTAGGAATAACTCTTCATAAGCAGTACCCACAAGAGTGGGCATAGAATAGTTGAATGATAAAACCCAGAGAAACAGCCAGTTGATTACTTGCAAACCCAGCAGCTGCAACTGAAGAGAGGTGATAGTCTAGCACAAAAACAAATCATAAAACATCAGATTTCTGAAAAATAGGGAAAATCTTTTCTGGTAGCCTCATCCCAAAAGCTAGTTTTTCCTGATAATAGGGAATCTTATCAAAACAAACAAACAAAAAAACCCTCTTACTATAATAGCAGAGGAGGAGAAAGCTTCTATTTTGAATGAACCAACCGCAAACATATTTATTATACTTTGTAAAGTTGAAGAACTTGCATGAGTGTGTGGTTTCTTACTGAAACAAAATTTTCAAAAAGGAGAAAGGGAGGAGGATCCAAACTGTGTTGCTTGGACTGTTTCTATGAGATATTGGTAAGTATTCTGTGATAAAAGGATTCTGTTATAAATAAAGCATAGGAAATGCTGAGTTAAACCAGGTAAATGTTTCATTAATAGACTAGAGGCCTGGTGCACGGATTCATACACTGGTGGTGTCCATTAGCATGGCCTGCAGGGATCTGGCTGAAACCAGCAGTCCAAAGCCACCTGCCGCTCCTGCTCATCCTGGCCCAGCTGCGTTTGCCTTGGGCTGGCACCCAGTCAGTCCTGATTGGGAGAGGTTCGCGCTGCCCACAGTGGCACTTGCCAGCCGTGAGCCCTGTGTCTGGCGCCCATCGGTCAGCTGAGTGGCGCTACCACTGTAGGAGCGCACTGACCACCAGGGGGCAGGTCCTGCGTTGGGTGTCTGCCCCCTGGTGGTCAGTGCACGTCATAGCGACTGGTCATTCGGTCGACTGGTTGCTTAGGCTTTTATATATATAGATGGGATTTTTAATATGCCAACATTTGTGTCCCTAAGTGTCATAGTTCATTGTTATTGAAGATTTCGGCTAATACCTCACAAAAACATCAACTGTCTACTACATTTAAGAAAAGACTACTTAAAAAACTGAATTTGGGCTTCCTATAAACAGAAATTAAGGATTTTCTTTCATCAACTTTGTTAGGAGGAATTGACTTGGGCTGTGAATCGGATATCACCAATGTTTTGAATAGGACCAAATAAGAAATATTTATCTTATTTATGTAAGAGTAAGGTTTACCAAAACCTTATGCAAGGACTGGCTGACATTTAATATCATAACCCTAGTTTTTTTAGCTGAATATATTTTATAGTTAGATTTATAACATATTGAATGGGAGTTATCCCATAGACCTGTCATTGTGATTATGCCCCAAAGCTGAACATGAAATGCACCAAATGCTCTACATTATAAATTAAAATAACTTTAAATAACTGCAGGTATTAATTGAGTAGTGTCACAACTAGCCTACAACCACCACCACTACCACTTCTATCTACCCTTACTTAAAAAAAGGAGGGCTGGTGGAGAAAATAGTGTGTGTGGAAAAGCTGTTCCCAACGTGTAGTTGGGGCGGAGGCTGGAGTTTTCATTGAAGAGAATCACTTCTAAAGACTGGATTTTAAAAAGGGAGATAAATTTTTTCTCTCTTTTGGCTGTTCGCTTGGTCACAGGACTTACTGATCTTTTGGAGCTGAGTATGGGAAATAAAATTTCAACCATAATAGGCTGAGAGAGGTCAGGATAGCAGGGAAGTAGCTACCATTCCCATCATTTAATGTGGCAAAAAATGGAGTTTCTCATGGGTGGTGTGAATACCAGGGAAGGTAGGTGGGCTTGAGCCATCTTTGTCAGTATGAGGGCACCATCAAGAAGGAACCGCTGTAACAAGCGGTATGAAAGAGCTTTAGTAAGCTGGAGCCAGATAACCACCAAAATAGCAAACAAGGTAATGGTAAAGCCCTGCAGGCTTCTGCAAAGAGGCCTCACTGGAGATTCAGCTTTTGGATACTGGCACATAGAGGTTATCAATATCCAGTCATGAAGACTGCATTCTCACCCAGTCAAGGAAGGAAACATTTGCCCTTTCTCTTTTTTTAAAATTTGTTGAGGTGATTTTGGTTAATAAAATTGTATACAGTTCTCAGAGACATCATCTGTATATTATTTTGTATGTTTGCTACCCCAAGTCAAATCTCCTCCCATCACTATTTATTTCCCCCTTTACCCTCTTCTACCTCCCCGCACCCGCTTTGTCCTTTTCTCTTTTAAGTAAGGAAGAATTTATCTTTTTCTCTCTCCTTTCTCTCTGCCACAATCCAAGTGTCCTAACCCTAGAAGAGGGAGGAGAAGCAGGTGTCTAAGATTTCCTGCTACTGCCTCCAAATCACTAGAGCTTTACCTGTACTGGTGGTGGATGGATAGGAGGAAAAGGGGAGAAGAGTTTTGAATTGAGTTCAGGATTGAAGCTTTCAAGTTAACATGACTGACTCTTTAACCTTAGATTGTTATTGTTCTAATCAAGTACCTGAAAAATCAAATATCCTATATAATAAAAGGCTAATATGCAAATAGACCAAACAGCGGAACAACTGGTCAGTATGACATGTGCTGACCACTGGGGGCACGCGTGGAACATGGCAGGCGTTGGCAGCAGGTGGCAGAGCACGGGATATGGCGGGCATTGGCCGCGGCAGGATGGTGGAGCAGGTGAGCAGGGGTGCTAGACCAAGGCGGGACACTGGTCACTGTAATCAGGGCAAGCCTCTGGTGGTTACTGAAAATTCTTTACTTCCGCATGCCGCAGCCCCCTCCCGCCTGGCCTCCGGTGCTCATACCTGCTCCCGGCACCGGACCTGATAGCTTGGCGCCGTCTGGGTACGAGCAGCGGCTGCCGGCTCCAATTGCCCCTCAGGACTTCTCCACCTCCCCCTGCTCCTGAGTGGTGATTGGGGCTAGCAGCTGCCTCTTGCACCCACAGCTGGAGCTGCTGTTCGCACCCACTGCTGGCACCCAGCACTGGCCCTGATCGCTTGGCGCTGTCAGCAGGTGCGAGTGGCGACTGCCCACCCAGATCGCCCCTGAGGACTTATCCAGCTCCCCCTGCTCCCACTGCTTGCACCCGCTGACAGCACTGTACGGTGCAAGCAAGGCCGGCGCCATCAGTAGGTGGGAGTGGCAGAGGCCATAGCAGGGCTGCTGGCAGACAGGGAACCAGGGGCCATGGTGGGAGGGGCTGGGTGGGGCACAGAGGATGGGCCAAGATCTGCCCATGTGCCCACTGCAGCCTCGCAGCCCACAGTTCCTTTTCAGGTGCACAAATTCATGCACTGGGACCCTAGTATGTAAGATATTAAAAGAGCCACCACTCTGAAAAAAAGGACGTTCTACCTGGTATTGTTGGGAAGAGTTATTTGAAAAAATGAGGACATTGCTTTATGCGCTCAACAGTTTGAAACATTTTAGTAAAGACAGAAATACTTAAAAAAATGCTTATTATAGTGTTCATTTCGAAGTGTGATTTCTGTAATTCATTATCAGTTTCTTTTGTGAACTTAAGTTCTGAAATTTAAAACATCCTTGCAAAGTGAGTATTCTAGAAGTGTATTCATATCTGACAGTTTTGGTGAAGATTCAGCGGGCACCCACCACCCCCCCTCCAAAAAAAAAAAAAAAATCAAAACAAAAAGCAAAGTAGGCAACACCACACCGTTTATGGAATGATATTTTTAAAAGTTTTGCTCCTTTTTGCTTTTGCCACACATTGCAAAGACAGGCAGTTATGTCATTCAATCCTAATATCGTCACATAGTCCAGATTTTAAACGGATAAGTAGGATTAAAGAGCAAAGGAGTCTGAACTACCTCTTTTTACATTGTCCTTGATAACGTTTTTAAATCAAACGGAATTTCACATAATTTTAGATCAGTGTTTTCCCTTTTTTTGGTAAATTTTTTTTTTCAAATGGGACTTTTATTATTTCAAGAAAAAGGATTGTAAATATAATAAAGTTACATGCAGTAAACACCAATTATTCAAGAAAAACTATCTTAAATATAAAAATATCACATGCAATAAACATTAATATTTCAAGAAAAAAGGATTTCAAGTATACTAATATTACCAAAACTGTACTAACATAGTATGATATCACAAAAGTTGTAGAAAATATTAAAAATCGGCAAATAACAGGATTACTTCTATTCTAAAATACTAATTTTTCCCTCTGGCTCTATTTTTGTTCATCAGTTTATGTTGTTGGTTATATTCCACAAATGAATGAGATCATGTGATATTTATCTTTCCCAGACTGGCCTACTTCACTTAGAATGATGCTCTCCACATCCATCCATGCAGTTGCAAATGGTAAGAGTTCCTTCTTTTTTATAGCAGCGTGGTACTACATTGTGTAGATGTACCACTGTTTTTTAATCCACTCATCTGCTGATAGGCACTTAGGCTATTTCCAAATCTTAGCTATTGTAAATTGTGCTGCTGTGAACATAGAGGTGCATATGTTCTTTCTGATTGGTGTTTCTGTGTTCTTTGGATATATTTCTAGAAGTGGGATTACTGGGTTAAATGGAAGTCCATTTTTAATTTTTTGAGGAAACTCCATACTGTTTTCCACAACTGCTGCACCAGTCTGCATTCCCACCAGCAGTGTAAGAAGGCTCCTTTTTTCCACATCCTCGTCAGCACTTATTGCTTGTTAATTTGTTGAGGATAGCCATTCTGACAGGTGTGAGATGGTATCTCATTATTTTGATTTGCATCTCTCGGATGATTAGTGACTTTGAGCATGTTTTTATATGTCTCTTGGCCTTCCTTATGTCTTCTTTCGAAAAGTATCTATTTAGATCCTTTGCCCATTTTTTATTGGATTGTTTACCTTCCTTTTGCTAAGTTGTATGAGTTCCCTACAAATTTCGGAGATTAAGTCCTTATCAGAGATGACATTGGCAAATATGTTCTCCCGTGCAATGGGCTTTCTTGTTGTTTTGTTAATGGTTTCTTTTGCTGTGCAGAAGCTTTTTATTTTGATGTAGTCCCATTTGTTTATTTTCTCTAGTTTCCATTGCCCTAGGAACTGTACTGGTAAAGATATTGCTTCAACGTATGTCTGCTATTTTGCTGCCTATGGAGTCTTGTAAAATTTTTATGGTTTCCCATCTTACGTTTAAGTCCTTTATCTATTTTGAGTTTATTTTTGTGTAGGTGTAAGTTGGTGGTCTAGTTTCACTTTTTTGCATGTATCCGTTCAATTTTCCCAACACAATTTATTGAAGAGACTATCTTGACTCCATTGTATGCTCTTGCCTCCTTTGTCAAATGTTAATTGAGCATAATGGCTTGGGTTGATCTCTGGGTTCTCTGTTTGGTTCCATTGTTCTATATGTCTGTTCTTGTGCCAATACCACACAGTTTTGAGAACAGTGGCTTTGTAATATAGCTTGATATCTGGTATTGTGATCCCTCCAACTTTGTTCTTCTTTCTCAGGATTGCTGCAGTTATTCAGGGTCTTTTTTTATTCCAGATGAATTTTTGGAGAGTTTGTTATAGGTCTGGGAAATATTCAGTTGATATCTTAATTGGGATTGCATTGAATCTATAGATTGCTTTGGGTAGTATGGACATTTTAATGATGTTTATTCTACCAGTCCATGAACACGGTATATTCTTCCATATGTTTATGTCTTCCTCTATCTCTTTTTTCAACGTTCTGTTGTTTTCCGAGTACAGGTCTTTTACCTCCTTAGTTAAGTTTATTCCTAGGTATCATAATTTTTTTGGTGCAGTGGTAAAGGGGATTGTTTGTTTAGTTTCTCTTTCTGTGAGTTCATTATTGTTGTGCAAAAAGCCATAGATTTCTGGGTGTTAATTTTGTATCCTGCTACATTGCCAAAGTTATTTAGTTTTTTGATTGAGTCTTTGGGGTTTTCTATGTACAATATCATGTCAGCTGCAAATAATGACAATTTTACTTCTTCTTTTCTAATTTGGATGCCTTTTAGTTCTTCTTCTTGTCTGATCGCTATGGCTAGCATTTCCAGTACTATGTCGAACAGGAGTGGTGAAAGTGGGCATTCCTGTCTTGTTCCTGTTCTTAGGGGAAATGGTTTTAGTTTTTGCCCACTGAGTATGATGTGGGCTATAGGTTTGTCTTATATGGCCTTTATCATGTTGAGATATGCTCCCTCTATTCCAACTTTGCTGAGAGTTTTTATCAAAAATAGGTGTTGGATTTTGTTGAATGCTTTTTCTGCATCTATTGATATGATCATTTGACTTTTGTCTTTCAAGTTGTTTATGTGATGTATCACATTTATTGATTTGCGATTATTTTTTTAAATATTTTATTGATTTTTTACAGAGAGGTAGGGAGAGGGATAGTTAGAAACATCGATGAGAGAGAAACATCGATCAACTGCCTCTTGCACACCTCCTACTGGGGATGTGCCCGCAGCCAAGGTACATGCCCTTGACCGGAATCAAACCCGGGACCCTTCATTCAGCAGGCCGACGCTCTATCCACTGAGCCAAACCGGTTAGGGCTGATTTGCGATTATTGTACCAGCCTTGCATCCCTGGAATAAATTCCCCCTTGATCATGGTGTATGATCTTTTTAATATACTGCTGGATGCAATTTGCTGATATTTTGTTGAGGATTTTAGCATCTATGTCCATCAGGGATATTGGTCTGTAATTCTCTTTCTTTGTAGTGTCTTTATCTGGTTTTGGAATTAGGATAATGCTGGCCTCATAAAGAGTTTGGAAATGTTCTTTCCTCTTGGATTTTCTGAAATAGTTTGAGGCATATAGGTGTTCTTCTTTGAATGTTTAGAAAAACTCCCCTGTGGAGACGTCAGGATCTGGGCTTTTGTTTGGGGGGAGTTTTTTGATTACTGCTTCTATTTCATCGGTGGTTATTGGCCCATTCAGGTTTTTTGATTCTTCCTGATTCAGTATTGGGAGATTCTATTTTTCTAGGAATTTGTCTATTTCCTCCACATTGCCTAGCTTGTTAGCATATAGTTGTTCATAGTATTTTACAATTCTTTGTATTCCTGTGGTGTCCATGGGTACTTCTCCATTTTCATTTCTTATTTTATTTATTTGGGTCCTCTCTGTTTCTTGATGCGTCTGGCTAATGATTTATCAATTTTTTTTTTATCCTGTCAAAGAACCAGCTCTTGGTTTCATTGATTTTTTGTATTTTTTTTTTTTAGTCTGTATGTTATTTCTGCTCTAATCTTTATTATTTCCTTCCTTCTACTTATGCTTGGCTTTTCTTATTGTTCTCGTTCTGTTTCTTTAAGTTGTAGGGTTAAATAGTTTATTGATGATTTTTCTTATTTTTTGAGGTATGCCTGTAGTACTATGAACTTCCTTCTCAGTACTGCTTTTGCTGTGTCACAGAGATTTTGGGTTGTTATGTGTTCATTTTCATTTGTTTCCAGGAAGTTTTTTATTTCTTTCTTGATCTCGTTGGTAACCCACTCATTGTTTAATAACATGTTATTTAGCCTCCATGTGTTTGAATGTTTTGGGGTGTTTTTACTGTAGTTGATTTCTAATTTCATTCCACTGTGATCTGAGAAGATGCTTGATATGATTTCAATTTTCTTGAACTTGTAGAGACTTGTTTTGTGTCCTAGCATGTGGTCTAGCTTTGTGAATGATCCATGTACACTTGAGAACAATGTATATTTTGCTGCGTTGGGGTGAAATGTTCTATAAATGTCTATCTATCAAATCCATCTGATTCAGTGTGTTCTTTAGAGTCTCTTTTTCCATGTTAAGTTTTTGTTTGGAAGATCTGTCCAAAGAAGTTAGAGGGGTGTTAAAGTCCCCTCCTATGACTGTATTGTTGTCGATCTCTCCACTAAAGTCCTCTAGAAGTTTTTTTTATATATTTAGGTGCACCTATATTGGGTGCATATATGTTTACTAGGGCTATATCCTCTTGTTGGATCAATCCCTTTAGTATTATGTAGTGACCTTTGTCTCTTGTGATGGCCTTCATTTTAAAGTCTATTTTGTTGGATATGAGTACTGCTACTCCAGCTTTATTTTTCTTTTCCATTTGCATGGAAATGTTTTTTCCATCCCTTCACTTTCATTCTGTATGTGTCTTTTGTTTTGAGGTGGGTCTCTTGTAGACAACATATAGTTGGGTCATGTTTTTGTATCCATTTAGCTACCCTATGCCTTTTGATTGGAGCATTTAATCCATTTACATTTAGGGTTATTGTTGAGAGATACTTATTTATAGCTATTTTAATTCTGTATGGCTAGGTTTCTCTCTGTTTCTTCTTCTCAGCATCCCTTACAGCAATTCCTTTAGCATTTCTTGTAATGCTGGCTTGATGGTGATGAACTCCTTTAGCGTTTTTTTGTTTGGGAAGCTCTTTATTTGACCGTCTATTTTGAATGATAGCCTTGCTAGATACAGTAATCTGGTCTCAGATCCTTGCTTTCCATTACCTTGAGTACTTCATGCTATTCCCTTCTGGCCTGTAGAGTTTCTGATGAGAAATCAGGTGTGTCAGCCTTATGGGAACTCCTTTGTAGGTAACAGTTTTTTGTTTTGTTTTTTCTTGCTGCCTTTAAGATTCTCTCTTTGTCTTTAACTTTTGGCATTTTAATTATGATGTGTCTGGGCGTGGGCCTGTTTGGGTTGTTCTTGTTTGAGGTTCTCTGCGCCCCTGAACTTGTGTGACTTTTTCCTTTACCAGGTTAGGGAAGTTTTCTGCCATTATTTCTTCAAACAGCTTCTCTATGCCTTTCTCCCTTTCTGCCTTTTCTGACACACCTGCTGTTCTAATATTGTCACGTTTCACGTTGTCCCACAGCTCCCTTAAGCTGTCCTCCTGTTTTTTAATTGTTTTTTTCTTTTTGGTTCTCTAATTGAGTGATATTTTCTTTCTTTTTTTATTGATTTTTTAAATAAATCAATAAAGACAGGAAGGGAGAGGGATAGAGAGTCAGAAACATCGATGAGAGGAAAACATCGATCAGCTGCCTCCTGCACACCCCCCACTGGGGATATGCCCGCAACCAAGGTACATGCCCTTGACTGGAATCAAACCCGGGACCCTTTGGTCCGCAGGCCAGAGCTCTATCCACTGAGCCAAACCAGTCAGGGCTTGAGTGATATTTTCAACTCTGTCTTCTAATTCACTGATTCGATCCTCAGCTTCCCCTAATCTGCTGTGTATTCCTTCCAATGTGTTCTTTATTCATGTTATGTCATTCTTTATCTCAGACTGTTCTTTTTTCATAGTTACTATATCTTTTTTTAAAAATATGTTTTATTGATTTTTTTACAGAGAGGAAGGGAGAGGGATAGAGAGTTAGAAACATCAATGAGAGAGAAACATTGATCAGCTGCCTCCTGCACACTCCCTACTGGGGACGTACCCGCAACCAGGGTACATGCCCTTGACCGGAATAGAACCTGGGGCCCGTGAGTCCGCAGGCTGATACTCTATCCACTGAGCCAAACCGGTTAGGGCTATATCTTTTTTCATACTGTTGAGCATTTTTACCATTATTGCTCTGAACTCTGTTTCAGATAAATTTCTCATCTCTGCTTCATTTATCTCTTCTTCTGGAGAATTCTCTAGTTCTTTAATTTGGGTTTTTTTTCTTTGTCTCCTCATTTTGGTTGTCTGTTTGGGTGTGTGATTATGTTTTAGGTAGATCCGCTACACCTCTCAATCTCTAGTGCAGGACAGTGTTGAAGGCTGTTTCTAACAAATTGGATCAAAGATTCAAAGCCTTCAGAGATGGCCTCTGTCTACAGCAGTGATGGCAAACCTTTTGAGCTCGGCATGTCAAAATTTTGAAAAACCCTAAGTTAACTCTGGTGCTGTGTCACATATAGAAATATTCATAATTTTTTTAATATTTGCAACCATAGTAAAAAAAAAGATTTATATTTTTGATGTTTATTTTATATATTTAAATGCCATTAACAAAGAAAAATCAACCACAAAATATGTATAAAATGAGCAAAAACAGAAAAACAATGTACATTTAGGAAAAAATAATAAAAACAATGATAATCAAATGGTACGAAAACTAGAAATTAGTGACGTTTTTGATGCCGAAGTTTGTCTGCTAATTCTTCGATTACAGGTTCATACTTGGTGCACTTCAAGGCCAAGCAAGCGCCACTAACTTCATCTGTTAGCTGGTTTCTTTTGTTCGTTTTAATATTATTTAATGCTGAGAACAAAGTCTCACAAAAATATGTTGATGAAAAAATTGTTAGCAAATCCATTGCTAGATTTTTTATGTTGCTAAAAGTGTCAGGTACTTTGTTCCAAGAACTCAAAATTTCTTGTTCGTAGTTGCACTCTTTTTCATTATTCAAACGATTTCGTTCTAGATTTTCAAGTTTCAACCTTAAGCTGACAAACACGAGTCCAAATGCTACCTTGAAAATCTGCAAATTGCCTCTCTAAATTGTCAATTTGCAGACATTGGAAATCCTTTAATTCCAAAGTACTGTAAACAACTACATCCGGATACTTAATTATTTTAATGGTCTGTTCTAGGCTTCTAAATTGGTCGAATCTTTCACTAAACTGTTCAAATAACGAATTTACTATATTCTGGTACATAAGTATGGACTCCATTACACTTGTTGTAGTGGCCTTCTCGAAATACTTTTTTATCTGAGGAAAATACTTATAAATTTTAGTTTATCCAAGGAGAGGGATGACACGATCTCTTTTGTAAAGATCTGTCTGAAGTAGGGCAAGAAGCAGGAAGGGCAGTTAGGATGCTATAGCAATAGTCCTAATGAAAGGAGATGACAATTTGGACCAGAAAAGTAGCAAAGGAGGTAATGAGGAATGGTCAGATTCAGAATATAGAATAAAAAGCTCCCAAATTACTTTATTATTGATTAAAATATGTTTATAACAGTTTGTTTATAACATTTTCATTATAAAATATTATGGTCATTTCCCATTTCTTTAAGTATTCTCCAGCACATAAAAATAAAGAAAAAATAAAAATTAAAAATAAATGTCCCCAGCACATAATATTAGTGACTACATAGTATATTTTAGTTGTAACATAATTTAGCCATTGTTTATATAGAACAATTTATTTAACCAGTCCTCTTGTTGACCATCTAAGTTTTCCAGGATATTTTCTATTATAAATACCATTAAAATGCACATCCTCATTGTTATGTCTTTGCAAATATTATTACTAATTATTTAGAAATCTCTGCCTGTTGATTTTAGGAATGACTCTGCTGAATTTGAACTAGAAAGGCAGAAACTAGAAAAGCAGAACTATTACCATAAACCAACAACTTAGATTTTTTTCCTTTTAGCTATAACCATAGAAAAAGAATTCTCTACATCAGATGCACATTGATAGAGTTTAAAGGGCACCACAAATATTTGATTATGAAATATTTATAAATTCCTGTTCAAGATTAAATAAACATTCCTGTATTTCAGAATTTGTTTTTATTTCTGATAGACGTAATTATTACTAGGAACAGATGACCAATTACAAGGACTGTCACTATTTTAACATTCTACTTGAACTGTGGCCATGCTGGATTTCTGGCACCTGAGCTTTCACATCCATCTGTTATTAGGGCATTGTGCCCACTTACTAGGTTTATGCCAGTTTCAAAATATCATTTGTAAATCAAGATAGGCAATGTGTATTTGAGATATAAATCATTTATTATTTTATCTTTTTTTAAGAAAGTTTTTATTGATTTTTTAGAGGGAGAGGAAAAAAGAAATAGAATCATTGATATGAGAGCGAAACATCAGCTGCCTCCTGCACACCCCCTACTGGGGATCGAGCCCACCACCCAGGCATGTGCCCGACCAGAAATCAAACCTGCAACTCTGTGGTGCATCCGGCAACACTCAACCAACGGAGCACGCCAGCCAGGACTATTCTACATCTGGATTGTTTTTAGGAAGACTTTTAGGCACTTACAGATTTGACATAACTTCCAATTAGATATAGGTAGAAAGCAAAAATATAAACAAAATTTTAACTACTAAGTAATAAATAGAATACCAGGTTTCTTCAGCATGAGAAAATTGAAATTAGGGGAGCTGCTATAACAAATCCTTGAAAAAAGTTTATATATACTATTTGAGGGAAAGAAGTTAACATTTATTTGGTACCTACTATGTGCAAGGTGCTTTTACATAATTAATTATGAAAATCTTACAATAGACCTGTGATTTCAGTATTATTATCTCTATTTTGCAAAAAAAAAAAAACAAAACAAACAAACAAACAAACAAAAAAAAACTAAAAGAAATGACTTAACCCTGACCGGTGTGGCTTACTTGGTTGGGCATCATCCTATGCACTGAGAGATTGCTGGCTCTATTCCCAGACAGGGCACATGCCTAGATTTCTGGTATGATTCCCGCTCTGGGCACATATGGGACTCAACCGATCGATATTTCTCTCTCACATTGATGTTTCTCTCTCTCTCCCTGCCTCACTCTCTAAAAAAAAGGAAGAAGAAGTTAAAATTTAAAAAATAATCAACAACCAAATAATTGCTTTACCCTTAAAACTCAACTCAACATTCCAAGGTAAGTGTGAGTTTATAAATTAGCTCTCATTATCAAGAGGCAATACCAAATAGCAATGAATTATTTTTACTCTAAGAGACTACCTACCCAGACAAAATATCTAAGAGGAAAAAAAAAAAAGCTGTTCGCTTATTGTTAGGTCAGTGATTTTCAAACTTTTAAAAAGAAGCTCTTTCTTTTTCCCAACCAAAACTACATAAAACAGATGAGAATGGTTGAAGCAAGGGTGCAAAAAAGGGAGCTGGAGATTGTAGTTCTGTTTGCTCCCTACCCAGTTTTCTCCTCTAATGCTCCTTATAGCCTCTGAAGTAATACTTATAAATCGCAGGACTTGGAATCTCTTTTAAAACCCGTGTTGTGGCTAGAACACTTGGTTGATCAGCTCACTTTTGTAATATTTAAATGATTTATTTTGATTATCTACCGATCACAAAAGTGTGACTTGAAAGTGGTGGAGAACTTTCTGGGGCAATGGCTAAGAATTTTTTATTTTATCTGTATTGTCTTTCCTTCTCTCTCCCAGGCAGAATCAATTAATTCAATCTATCAAGTATTTTTTTAACCTCATCTGAATGCCAGGCACTATCCTGGTTCTTACCTTCAGGAAGTTTAGATTCTAGTTTGGAAAAGTAGATAATAAAGAAGTGAAAAAACTCAATTTGTGCTATAAGGAAAATATATGTTTTAAATAAACAATGCTTATGGAATGCTGGACTACTTTATTTATGTCTCGTTGCTTAAAGTTACTTGTATTGGGTTGAATGTGTCCCTCAAAAGTTCATGTCCACCCTGGACCTCAGAATGTGACCTTATTGGAAATAATGAAAAAAGTTTAAAATATACTATTTTTAAGATGTAATTAGTTAAGATTAAGTCAGTGGATTTGGGTAGGCCCAAATAATGGAGACACAGACACACGGGGAGAAAGCCATATGAAGGAAGCAGAGATTGAAGGAGATGATTTACAAGCCAAAAAACACCAAGGATTGCCAGCAACCACCAGAATATAGGAAAGGCAAAGGTTTCTTCTGTAGAGTCTTGGGAGAGAGCAAGGCCTGTTGGTGCCTTGATTTTGGATTTCTAGTCTCCAGAACTGTGAGGGAGTAAATGTATCTTGTTTTAAGGCACCCAATTCGTGCTAATTTGTTATGGTAGCCCTAGGAAATTAATACACTGCTTTATATAGAATAGTTAGGAAGGCTTCTCTTAGTATATGACTTTTAAACAGAGACATGAATGATCAGAATGACCCAACCAAGTTAAAAAACACTGGTGTTTATTTCATCTCAGTGATACATATGCTACAGATATTTAAATTACTAGTTCTAAAAATGAAATAGTAGTTCTAAAACAAATACATTATTTTTCCACTCACTACAGATGTCTTTTCTTTGCAAAACCTATATAAAGTAGATATTAATTTCCATATAGCAAATAAAGAACTTGGACAGTGTCACACACCTAGTAAGTGGCAGCATCTAGATTCAAATTTAGATAATCTGGCTTCAAGAGCCTAAATTTACTATGACACTATTTCTCAAGCTTCAGGCATCATGATTTCATTCTGTCCACAGACTTCCGCGGTTGCCCTTTGGTGATATTTCATGTAACGTGGTCTTATTGAACATAGTTGCTCTATTTTGTCTCATACTTTTTATCTTCCCCTTAATAATAGTAGTAATAATTTATGATGATACTCATGATTGCTTAATTTATTGAGCACCGTGTATGCCAGCTTTCTTAATCCAAACAACAACCCCATGAGGTAGATGCTATTATTTTATGAACTAAGGAATAACTTACATATAGTAAGGTGATATGCCAAGATCTATAGGCTTAAATCTATAGGCCTATTAATTCTGATGTTATACACTTGTGTAACAATGACCAGAATATTCTCAGCTCAGAAGGCTCTCTTATGCTCCCTCCAGTAGCTAGTTCTCCAATGGTAAACACCATTTTAATATCTTTTACATGGACAAGCTTTGCCTATTCTGGAACTTCCTAAATGTGAAATTATACAGTATATACTCTTTGGTGTCTTGTTTCTTTCCAAAGTCCTCACCTTTAATGACCATGTTATACTTTCTCCAACAAAATTGCCAGGTCCTCTGCCTTTTTTCCCTAAGCTTTTGCTAAGTAATTAATGTTGATGATGTAATAAACAACTTTTTGCTAAAATATTGGTGAGTGAAAATGGTTTAATATTTTTTTCCAGATAACTTATTAGTATTATAATTGACCTTAAACCTAGAAGAATGACTACTATGGGAATTCTAAGCAGTCTAAGAGATTTTTGGAAGGGGAATAGAGAGATTGTGTTTTTCCTTAAATCTGAATACATAATTTTTTAATTAGTGCATTAATTGTTACTTTTAAAAGTTCTTTCTAAAATGTCAATGCTGTCGCTATAACTGCTTCTGAAATACTATAGAAGAAATCTTGGATGCATAAAAAGAAGGTTTCATATGACACAGAAAATTGAGCACTGAAGTTGTCAAAGATTTTGGGTTCTATCCTATGCTCTTCAACTTACTAGTTGGTTACCTCACGTAAATCACCTGATCCTTCTGAGCCAACTTCAATGTGAGGATAAAAACATTTGCTATGACTGACAGGATTGGTGTGAAGATCAAATATGAAATAAGCTCATGAATCTTAAGTGCTTCATAAAGTCCATATGTGATAGATACTTGGCTTTTATGTATGTAAAACTTACCTATTATACTTAATAAAAGAGCTAACATGATAATAGATATAAGTAAAATGGAATATTCTGACCATCTGATGTAATAGGAAGTCTTAGTGAAATTATTTTTGAAGAACTTGTAATTTAATAACCTAGATTGCCAATCACGTGATTCAAGTTTGATCTCTAAGTGAGTTGATTTGGAAAAACATAACAGCAATTTACTTTCCCATTTCCTTTTATCTTGTTTTTACATTTCAGCTCTCCTCAGTTATAAATTTTGTTGGAATGCAATACAATTTTTTGCTTTTAACTATTTCCTTAGAATTTTTGAGTCACATGAACTTGTCTAGGGTCCTCCTGTAACAAGAATTCTATAAATGCCATGTAAGATTGTGAAGAATTTGTCAGAAAGAAAAATGTGCAAGACTTTTTCTCACTAATAATCACTTACTAATTAATCTATAACCAGTGAAAAATAGGTTTTTGGGGGGAAGTGGAGGATAGGAGAGGATGAGTATGTACCGCTTTACTTTGGAGCACCACCGGCTGGTAAATGGAGTCTAATGGTGTTTGGTATACAAATTAAGAATTATATTGGGAGATTAGAGCAATCCAATTTTATATAAAACACATACTAGTTCTTAGAATTGTAAGAAATGCTGATTTGATTTACTAACTAAATGATTCAATTATTAATCTTTTCATTATACAGATCCTTTTTTTAGTCTGTTTCCAGAGCCAAATTCCCTTTAGACCTCACCATCACATCCCCAAGCGTCGGTAACATTATTTTCCTCTCTTGGAGTCCCACTTCTATTATCTCTGATTCTGTAGTGACACCTGGAAGGGCATTCTGTTTGCTTTAGCTCTTCTTCGATAATTCTTTTCCCTGTAAAGAGGGACAACTATTTTAGTTGAATTATTGATCTATAAATATTTTTTTTAAATTAAATCTTTATTGTTCAGATTATTACATTTGTTCCTCTTCCCCCCCCCATAACTCCCCTCCTCCCAGTTCCCGCCCTACCCTCCGCCCTCACTCCCCACCCACTATCCTCATCCATAGGTGCACGATTTTTGTCCAGTCTCTTCCCGCATCTCCCACACCCCTTTCCCCCGCAAGAATAGTCAGTCCATTCCCTTTCTATGTCCCTGATTCTATTATAATCACCAGTTCATTTTGTTCATCAGATTATTTATTCACTTGATTCTTAGATTCACTTGTTGATAGATGCATATTTGTTGTTCATAATTTGTATCTTTACCTTTTTCTTCCTCTTCCTCTTCTTAAAGGATACCTTTCAGCATTTCATATAATCCTGGTTTGGTGGTGATGAACTCCTTTAGCTTTTCCTTATCTGTGAAGCTCTTTATCTGACCTTCAATTCTGAATGATAGCTTTGCTGGATAAAGTAATCTTGGTTGTAGGTTCTTGGTATTCATCACTTTGAATATTTCTTGCCACTCCCTTCTGGCCTGCAAAGTTTCTGTTGAGAAATCAGCTGACAGTCGTATGGGTATTCCCTTGTAGGTAACTGAGTTTCTTTCTCTTGCTGTTTTTAAGATTCTCTCTTTATCTTTTGCTCTTGGCATTTTAATTATGATGTGTCTTGGTGTGGTCCTCTTTGGATTCCTTTTGTTTGGGGTTCTCCGCGCTTCTTGGACCTGTAAGTCCATTTCTTTCACCAGGTGGGGGAAGTTTTCTGTCATGATTTCTTCAAATAGGTTTTCAATATCTTGCTCTCTCTCATCTTCTGGCACCCCTATAATTCTGATTTTGGTACGCTTGAAGCTGTCCCAGAGGCTCCTTACACTATCCTCGCATTTTTGGATTCTTTTTTCATTTTGCTTTTCCAGTTGGGTGTTTTTTGCTTCCTCGCATTTCAAATCATTGACTTGATTCTTGCGCTCCTCTGGTCTGCTGTCGGGAGTCTGTATAATATCCGTTATTTCAGTCCGTGTATGCTTAATTTCTAGTTGGTTCCCCAATATAACATCGAGGGTCTCACTAGTTTTCTTGTAGATCTCATTAAGTTTATTGGCGGCTTCTAAACAGTTCTTGAGAGACCTTAAAAGTGTGGTTCTGAACTCTATATCTTCCATTGACAATTTTGTCCTGTTTCTTTGTCTCCGCATTTTGTTATGCTTCCTTGGTGCACCCCCTAGTGGTCTTTGTGCGCAGTCTTATAGTTAAACCTTGATTTACCAGGGAGGGTTTGACCTCCAGGCCAGGTGGCTATGAGAATCAGCTGTGTCTGCAGTGAGAGAACTTCTGTCCTCTAGGGAGGTGCTAATCTGGCGTTTGCCT